TTTTTTTTTTTTATTTTTTTTTTTCAACGTTTATTTATTTTTGGGACAGAGAGAGACAGAGCATGAACGGGGGAGGGGCAGAGAGAGAGGGAGACACAGAATCGGAAACAGGCTCCAGGCTCTGAGCCATCAGCCCAGAGCCCGACGCGGGGCTCGAACTCCCGGACCGGAGATCGTGACCTGGCTGAAGTCGGACGCTCAACCGACTGCGCCACCCAGGCGCCCCGAAAGGCATGTGCATTTATGCCTAGCACAGGAAGCGCTGAAAGAAAAATGCAAGTTCCCTAAGGAAGGCAATTCTTAGATAAAATGAGGAAGAAGCTGAGGCAGGTATGTGGGCTTGGTGGAGAGAGGACAGAAACTTCCCTCCAAATGGTTCAGAGATGGAACTCCTTTACCATGAAGCTATAGGAACTTTCCCCTTGAATTCACAGTAAATTATTAGTTTCCCAAAGGATATATTTAACCTCCTTTAACATTAGTGTTCAGTTCCCTTGCTTTTAACCCTAAAACATCAATGTGGGGGGGGTGAAAAAAGAAGAAGCCCTTTTCTGTGCTCTTCCTGATTTGAAATATTACATGTGCTATATAGTGTTTTGCTTTTTTGGGTCAGAGAGTTGAATAATCTGAGGATAGAATAGGTTCTGTGGAAGGTTTCAGGGAATGTAATTTCTTACCATGGCTACTGCTGATAGCTGGAATATGCTGTTAACTGTTTTATTAGTATAAACTTTATGTGAACTTAATGTGTTGACTGTGTGCTCTTTGAGTGTGGTCCTGGACACTGGACAACTATTGGGAAAGCACATCTGGACAAATGTAGAGACTGTGAAACTGTGTCCCTTTTAGACTGTGAAGCTGTGCTTCACTGAATGGTGTACCTTTTGGGGTCCCTAGTTAAGTTGTGGTGGGGAACACAATCTGAGGTCGATTTAACCATGGAGGTTCGCTTGCCTGGTCATCTTTGACAAGGCAAATCTTGACTTTAGTGCTTACCAGTAAGAACCTTTGATTCTTGAATAGTGTGATAGGAGAGGGAACTAAAAAAGACAGTTTCTTAAAGTCTAATCTTGATTACTTTGTTGTAGGTTATGAGAACCCTAGTTTTTTTTCTTTTTTTCTTTTTTTTGTTATTTATCTTTTCCTTTGATCATTTTACTTGTAAATATACATACATATATATGTACATGTGTATGTATATACATATATATATATATGTTGCGGTAACAAACATGAAGGAGAAGGAGATGGAACATAAATCAACTTTTTTTTTGTTTTAATCTTGTAAGCATCTGGTTTGAAAATACACAGAGAGGACTGGGGAACTATGAAAAACGAGTTGAAATATTCTGTAAGAGTGTTATTTTAAAAAATACATAAGAATTTTATGTTTCCATGCCATTTACTGGACCCTGAATTTGACCACTTGGGAGTCTTAAGTTTTGGAATATTTTCCTTCTCAAATTGAATTTGATTTTAGAGTATTTGGCCTTTTTATTGATGCCTCGTGAGGGTGAATTCTTTTTTTGTGACTAATCTTTTTTTTTTTTAATTTTTCAAAATGTTTATTTATTTTTGAGAGAGGGAGAGGCAGAGCATGAGTGGGGGAGGAGCAGAGAGAGAGAGAGGGAGACACAGAATCTGAAATAGGCTCCAGGCTCTGAGCTGCCAGCACAGAGCCTGACGCAGGGCTTGAACTCGGGAACAGCCAGATCATGATCTGAGCCGAAGTCAAACGCTTAACTTACTGAGCCACCCAGGCACCCCATCTAATATTTCTGTTTTTAAATTCCAGTTGATCCCATTAAGATACTGATGCCATCACTGTCTCCTACAATGGAAGAAGGAAATATTGTGAAATGGCTAAAAAAGGAAGGTAAGCAAGTACTCCACTAATGCCTTGTGTTATTTCATCATTTGGGGTTCTTTTCCAATCAGTTGTATTATACAATACATGAATTAAATCATGTCCTCCGCTCATTAACCTAAGTGTTTTTAGATAAAATTTTCCCATGGCAATATAATGTAGCAAAGGTTTTCTGATTCAGCCTGTATCTTTTCACAAGCAGAGAATGGCAAAATATTTTGGGGTTTTTGTTGTGTTTCAGTCCTTATACTTAGCTTTTAGTTTCAGCATCATAAATTTGTTGATCTCCTTATGTTAATCTGTGGCTTTATGATGATTCTGTGTGTGTGTGTGTGTGTGTGTGTGTGTGTGTGTGTGTGTGTTTCCTGAAGCTAAGCAAGTTGATTATGAATGTCATTGGCAAGAACAAATAAGTAAGGATAATAAAGAAAGCTCCCAAAAGAAGAGAGTGGAGAAGGAGTCTAGCCCTGCTAGATAGTAAGTGTGTTATTATGCCTCTGTCATGCAGGGACATGGGGACAATTACTGTGAAGGCATCTGGAGAAGGAGACTTTATTTTTCTGGTGGCTGCTTTCTTTTCCTTTTTTTGCCCCTCCGGCCGCTGCCATGTGCGATGGTAGAAAACCTGCACCCACGCGGGTATTGACTGGGGGACAGCTTCTTTCAGCCATCTTTCCCTGTGCTTTACTTGGTCTGCAATACGTTAAAGTTTTGTGGGGGAAAGAGGATGTGTCTCCAGTCCCTATTAGAGGTTGTTAGACAGAGAAATGGACCAGATGAGTTCCCCGTAGCCATTACTATGCTTCAGCTTGAGAAATAGTGAACCAAATGTTAAAAACAGAAAGAGGGGAGCAGAATGGATGACATGGCTTGGGATGCTATGTCTGATTCCAGAGACCGGCCCTGGCAAGGACTTCTAGGATGTCTGTGTGTGACTCAGTGGGCACAGATGTCATCCAGGCAAATGCTGGTATTGAGTGGTCTAGTCTGGTGCTTATATAAAATGGCACTGAGAGAATTTAGGTGATAGGCAGGAATTCAGAGTGTGACAGTTATGCTATGATTCCAGGACACTCCTGGTGTCACTTTTGTAAGTGATGACAGTTACGGGGATTGGGAAGAAGGCCACAAGTATTCACTTCTGAAACATAGCCAAATTGGCTTGAGAGTTTTGAGAGAAAACCCCCTTTCTTTGAGGGAGACTAGGAATGCTAGGAAAGGCAATAAGATAGGTTACAGAATGGACCTCACGGCAGGAGCTTGGGACTATGGTTTGGGCCAATATGGAGGCTAGGAGGTATGGTACATTGAGGCTACCCAGATGACCATGACTGGTCTTGGCCGCGCTAGAGACCATGCTTGGTTGGAAGCATTACTTCATTCCGTTCCTTAGTGGGGAATATGTCTGCATTTTGATACTTCTCCTTCCCCCGTTATGACTAGCAGAGTAATTGGAACACACCTGCCAGTACGGTAAGTGGTTGATCAGTAAGTGTATTAGCAGAGGGAAGAGTAAGCTAAAAGCAGGCGGTGTGTCAGGGATCTAAGAGAGCTTTGCAGATGAGGTACTATTTGCCTTGGTCCTTGTAGAATACTGGGGTTTTATTTAAAAAAGACAGAAATAGGGGCGCCCTGGTGGCTCAGTCGGTTGAGTGTCCGACTTCGGCCTAGGTCATGATCTCACGGTTTGTGGGTTCGGGCCCCATGTCAGGCTCTGTGGTGTCTGTTCGGAGCCTGGAGCCTGCTTCAGATTCTGTGTCTCCCTCTGTCTCTGCCCCTCCCCTGCTCATGCTCTGTCTCTCTCTGTCTCAAAAAAATAAATAAAAACATTAAAAAATAATAATAAAGAAATTTAAAAAACAGAAATAAACACAAAAGTGAGCAAGGACGTGGGTAATGTAAATGATTTGGCAAGACCTTGGAAGTGAGATATCACGACATATATTTTGGCAACAGCAGGTAGCTCAGGCTGCATTAAGGGTGCCGCGTGTGTGCGGTCAGATAGATTATAGGAAGGAACATCGATACCAATCGTCAGTGTGTCAGTCTGGGAGGGTCCCTATCCTAAAGCCAAGGTATCCACACTTAGGGTTATTTTATAGGAAGTGGTTTCTGTATGCTTTTTTGAGCCTTGTTAGTAGCATTACACTGAACGGAGCGGGTCCTCACAGCGCTCTGGTATCAAGAGCAAACTATAGGTGATTTAAGAGCCCTGTTTGCCTGCTCACACTTGAAAAGTCAACCCTGAGGACTTTCGGTCAGTATGACTATCTAAAGAGATGGGGTAGGGCCTCTGCTCACTACTGGATGAAAAACTATAAAACAAATTTCTTAATGGTAAGTAGCGCTTAAATACAAGAAAAGGGAGTCATCAAATGCCCGCAGCATCCATAGTGGTCGGTGGGAGTTGAAGCCATGTGCCCCACTTGGCCTGAGCTGGAAGAAGAGTAAATGAGAGTGGGAAGAGGTGTTTTTGAGCGGGGAGGAGGGAAGGAAGAGAAATCAAGAATTAGGTTTAGGCTTCGACATGGTAAATTTGAGATGCTTATTAGACATTCAAGCAAAGATGTTGAATGGACAACTGGTTGTACGATTTGAAGTTCATGAGTGAAGTCATCAGCATATGGATGGAATTTAATGCCATATGATAACAGGCAAATTCATTTGTTTGACTTGATATGGAATAAGAATGCCTACTCCCTTGAAAATTTGCTCTCATAGGCATGTCCTCATGAGGCTTTGAGGTTCACATTTATAGTACTTGCATTTTCTGGAACTCACAGGCAGAGGTAAAGTGGTTCTGGGCTGATAATCTTCCTGGGTTACCTGGCAGAAGCCGTTATTCTGGAAGGACACAGCCTCCAATCCAAGCCATACAAGATTCCCAGATAAAGTCCCACTTACGAAGAGTTCACAGTCTCAAATTTAATATTGTACACGGAAGCAGTCTTTTCGGAGCAAGGGTCATGAGGCATAACAAGTCTCAGGACTAGATCTCCAAGGACTTAAGTTAATTGGAATTATTAGATACATAGAGATGTGTGTTTGAAATGACTAAACATGTAAGAGAAGGAGTTGAAAATATGAAAAGAGACACTCTGCAGAATGTCTAGGCAGATCTGGAAAGGACAAACAGAACTTCTAAGAATGAAAAATATTGTCTCTAAAATTAGAAGAGAAAAACTCAAGGTTGGGTTGAAGTGTGACTGAGCAAAGAATTAGTGAACAGAAGTCTATCCTGAGAAGATTAGCTTACATGCAGCCCAGAGACATAAAGCAGTAGAAAATATGAACAAGACATTGAGACATGAGGAATAAGATGAAAATCATCCAGTAATCCAATAGCAGGAATTCTAGAAGGAGAAAAGAGAGAATGTAGTTTTCAAGGCAAAAGTAGCAGAGAATTTTCTAGAATTTGAGAAGGACATATATCACTAAATGAAAGAGCCAGTGCTTCATTAAGAAGCACTCTGAGCAATTGGCTCTGCGTGGCTGCTGTCTTTTAAAATAATTATCAGTATCTAAGAAAGCTTCACCTTTATAAATAATGGAATCAATTGGCATCTATTTTTAGGTTTCTTGTTCCTGATGAATTACAGAGCTTTGGCTATTTCCACATTCAATATGACAGAGTGTTGGTGTCATTACATAATGATTCAGACACAGAACAGCCTTTTAGGGTTATTATAAAAAGATTAAATTTCTTCACATTTTGAGGCAACTAGATAAGAAGGATTCTTTGGAGCACATTTGTCTTTCAGACTTCTAGCTCACTGGCAATCTGGTAAGTTATTCACATCCATTAGAGTATGGAGAGTATGATGAAGAGCCAGGAGACATATGGTCTCATCATTCTGTTCTTTTTTCCTTTTGATTTTACAATGTGCCGTTTTCACATAGGAAGAGCCAGGATATGCTTTAAGCCCCTGGAGCATGTTTCCCTGAAGATTGCTCTTAAAATTGTGTTCCACCAACTGAAGAGAAATGTTTGTTTACTGATAGACTATAAATAATTGAGAGTAATCTTAATCTTTGGTCCAAAGATTCAGTAATTCGCTGTCTTCTTTTTTTAAGTTCCATGTTTATGATTTAATTGTGATCTTTTGAGCGTAACTTAAAACTTCATTAATGTTTATGTACTGTACACATGTGACTGTATTTCTAAGTATGTTTGGTGCTCAATACATTTATGATCACTTGGTTCAGTCATTCTGTATTAAAAACATATTCATGCATAAAACTTTATACCATTTTTTCTTATTAGCTGTGTTTTAAAAAAATTATCTTGAGATCTTTTTAATGCATGATCAGTGTTATTTAAAACAATGAGTTTAGACCTTCAGACATGAAGAGGACTGAATGTTTTTTCATAGAAAAGAATAGTGTTTTGTCTAATTATAAATCTAGTTTATTTTTAAGCAAAGACTAATGATCTGATGACCTTTAATGGATAGTAGTTTGGTCTTACAAACCTATAATGTTTCTCTGAGACTGTAATTCACAACTATTATTACTAATGTCATGGGGGTGTGTGAAGGGTGTGTGGGGGTGTGTTTAAGCTAAGGCAGTGGGAAGAACTCTGGTCTGGGAATCACAGTTTGTCCTTTGGGGTTCCCACTCTGGCATGAAAATATCTGGGGGCGAGTTGAAGTAGTTGAAATCTAAGGAGTATCTCTAGCTTTAGAATTCTGTAATTCAATTTCATTTCGTTTTGTTGATGGATGTCTTGGAAATACTCAATAGCACATACATTTTTCCCATTGTTGATTGTTAGCTAGCAAAGCGGTTTCATAATGAGTATTAGAGTACTTAGTTTTAGTCTGGGATTATGTAAAGAGTATCCACTATAAAATTGGTAGAGAAGATACTTCAAAAGTGACAGGTAACACGTACAACGTCAGAATCTCTTGAAAGGTGAACTGAGCTGTAATTCCCCATCTATTTTACAGGTTTGTTACTTAGAAAAATGTGCTTCAGATATTTTCAGTTTAATTAACATGGATATAACT